GGGGGGGGGGAAGGGGCGTAAGCGAGAGTGAAGGAGTGACTGTGAATGTATGGGAAGGCCCTCTAAAGGGGGTTTTATCCTTGAAAGCCTTGAGACACGAGACACGCCTTGCCTGGGAGCAGGGAATTCCGTCACGCTGCCCAGTGGCCAAGGCCTCCATGGTCCCTATTCTCCCGTCCCTCCCCTACACTATAGGCCTACGGTCGATCTCATTCTCGTGCAAGGAATGATCGAAATGGACACAAGGCACAAGGAGAGGTCGTTGCGTCACAATCGTCAGTTACCTTTCTTCGACTGGTCCCGGCCCCGCGAGGATTTCAGGTTCTTCAACATGCCCACTCCTCCGCCGTTCTCCTATAAACAGAAAAAATATATATATGAATTTCTTCGACGGTTGAGAGAAAAATATGCTGCGATGATCGAAGCCTCACGTGTTCCTTTTTGGCGGGTCGTTTTGAGTCACGACTGGATATACCGGAACTTCCAGATCCAGATCCGGAACTCAGGCTGTAGGGATCTTCGTCTTCTCGAACGATCTTATCTTGCACACCTGGCGATCGTCTCCCTTTAAACAAAACAAAAAACATTTAAATAAAAAAATAAAACACTAAGTCTCCGAGTCGGCGTTGTTTTTCGCACGTGGAAGGGGGAGTCGAGATTTGAGCAAATCCAAGGCAACGATGTTGAGGATGAGGATCCAGCAGGGGGAGTCCAGGAGCTCCTCCTCGTTACGGAGGAAGGCGAGGGCAGTCACGCACTGCCATTCCAATTTCTTCCGATCCGGGTACGCCCTCTTCAACTCTCGATCCATGTTCTCCTCGAATTTGTGCATGTCGAACAATTTCTCGGGCGTCTCGTACGGCAGAGCCGCGTTCGGAAGCTTCAGGATGTCGTTGCTGAGGCTGGTCTCCTCGAGCGTGTTCTTCACGTACACGTTGCTCTTGGACGATCGCTTCACCAGGATGCTTCCCTCGGGGTCCATCTTCAGTTTGATTCCTGCTCCGATGCGTCGTTTCACTTCTTCCGTCTTCGGGTCCCTACCGGGGTTGAGGAAACCCGAGAGACCGAGCCGGAATCCGTCGAATCCTTCGTCGGAGCCGTTGATGGTGAGGACGGGTGCGCGGGCATAGGCTTTCGCCACGCGACGATTCCGCTCCATCACGATCACCTTTGCCCAGATCTCGTCGTCGATCTGCTCCCATTTCTCCAGCACCTCCTGGATGTGATCCTAACATGCACACAAACACGACATCGTCTCGTCAATGCCCATTTTGTAATGAAAAAAAAGTGGCGTGAAAGTGTCCTTAATTCGAATCGGTGCTCGTAGGTAACCCAAATTCATAAATCATCTCGGAAAATATTTATTTCACGACTGTATTGAGAATAATATTTAAGGCCATCAGAGC